CAGACGACAACAGACGACAGCAGACGACAGCAGACGACAACACACGACAACACACGACAACAGACGACAACACACGACAACAGACGACAACACACGACAACACACGACAACACATGACAACACACGACAACAGACGACAACAGACGACAACAGACGACAACACACGACAACACACGACAACACACGACAACAGACGACAACACACGACAACAGACGTTACACACATGCAGAACACTGCAGGAACTCTAAACGATCATCGACAGACTTGAGCTGATGGACGTGTACGGAGGAGGTAACGTGGCAGCACGACTATTAAAACGTTTTATTAACGTACAAAAAGACACAAAATCCCTGCAAAAAAACCACAAAAAGAAGTGAAAGCTGGGCGCCTGGACAGCTCGGCGGGTAGAGCGGGCGACCCATGTACAGGGGCTTCAGTCCCCGATGCAGCGGCCCGGGTTCGAGTCCATGCATGTCATCCCCCCACGTTTCTCTGTCTTTCACTATCACTATCAATAAAGGCAGAAAAGGCCAAAAATAAATCTTAAAAAAGAAAAAGAAAAAGAAGTGAAAGCACGACATCCTGATGGAGCACCAGTGTTGGACTAAAGGTTTGAACATTTGGACCTTCTGCTCCGTGCTACCTGCAGCTGAACACACATGATGAGGAAGCATCACCTTCATGTATTTGTAGGACTTGAGCTCGCTGATGTTCTCCTCCAGGAACAGCAGGTACAGAGACAGGTCGTCCCATTGGCCGCCGGGCGTCGGCAGGACGCCGACAGTGGGCAGCGATTGGTAGGTTTCCAGGAAGTGGGCGTAGCCATGACAGAGGAGAGGACGGAGGGCGGCGAAGATCACGACTGGAACCAACGCGATGAACACAATCAGGTTCACGAGGCTGCAAAGAACAACACAAAGACAACAATACAAAAACAACACAAAGAGTCTGAATCTACTGAACTTCAATTCACAAATAAACATTAGACACACAAAAGCACAATTAGGTGCAGAATGGAGACTCCAAACAGCAAAACAGACACACAAAATGATCAGACAGAGACTAAAACTGACCAACAAAACCGACACAAAGAGACGAAACAGGCACAAAGACACAAATCACTTAAACACTAAGAGACACACAAAGAGACACAAACAGCTACAGACACACGAAAACTGCAGAAGAGACACAAGTGGGCCACAGACACACAACCAAACACAAAGACACACAGAATGAACACAAACAGATGGTGATCCCAAAAGACAACAGACGGATTCACTGACGCAAAGTCGCATTCAGAGACGCCAAACAGTGAAACAGCGACGCAAAGACACACAGAGTGACCAGAAACCAGCACAGAGACGTGAAACACCTCAAACAGGAAACA